AAGTCTAATTTTAGACCCATTCTTACAATGTTAGCTCCACCTCTCATGCATATCTAATGTTCAATCAAGGGCAGGTAAGTGTAAATTCACTATATTTGGAAAGCAGTAAGGACAAAAAACATTGAATCATTTTATTGTATCACAGTCTAAAATCATTTTAAGATTAAAATTTGGTTCCAAATTGACAGGATTCTTTCATAAAGATACAAAAGTGAAACAAGGTTTAGATATAAAAGCAACAGAAGCAACCGAAAAAGACCCAAAAACAGGCGTTAAGTGCAGTCATCCTTTGCAAGAATGTTATGCAGATTTTTTGCTATAATGTGATAATGAAAATTTTCTTTTTGAATAGATTGTGCCAACAAAAAACAAAACAAAACAAAATCTCAATGGAAGAATATAATAATAAATGCATGCTTGAGTTTTAGTACGATGTATATACCTTGTATTTAAAATTATCAATAAACATTTTTGTCATCTGATTCAGATATGTTTATAATAATGTTGAGCTGTGACCAATTCTTAGACAGACCACTTAAATTGGCAATAACACAATTTTCAAAAGTATTTCCCTACATGTATATATAATTAACATGCTGGTATAAGACTTTCCAGAAAGTTTCAAGCCATATTAGCTCTGACTGTGCTTTAAAGATAAAGTGAAATGGTTCTAAATTCTTTAATATGTTTAAAGATTACAACAAAATAAAACCAAGGGGAAAAACACAACTATAACAAATTCTAGGTTATAGTCTAAAAATAACTTACTTTTGATTATTTTTTCTCCATAGCATTGACTCAATTAAATGAGAAATTTTCTATTTACTGACAAAGTAATCCAAAAACTGCACTTCTACAAAACTGTGCAAGAATTAGTGCTGTACCCACAAAGTTTTACATAAATTGCCTTAAATCTTGAAATAATCACAGGATTGCCTGCACAATAAATGAAAAATACTTATGAGGAAACTTATTTGCACTACCTGACCTTAGTAAAAACTAGGCTTGATGTAGTTTTGTCAAGGGTTGGCAAAAAACTGGGAAATACTCATATTTCCCAGGACGGTGGGAAATACTGGTAATTACCGGGAATTACTGGTATTTCCCGGCAAATACTGGGAAATAAGAAATAGGTACATATTTCATTCATATTGACATGTAGATATCTACCTGGTATCACTATCCCTGATTTAAAAAATTCTGGTTTCCAAGTACCGTAATTCACTTTATATTATAATCATAACACAGTATATTCATATACCAGTCATGAGTGTCATGTGTTTCATGTTTAAGTCCGATGTAGTCTATAAAGGTCCATGAAATGAACCCATAGATCCCAAAAGGGTTTTTTATGTAACTAAAGAAGAATATAAGAAAATTCTTAAATGTAGTGTAGTTTAAATAACAAACCTAAGAAGAAGCCTTTCAGTTCTACTCAAGGTAATTATTTCTCAAAACAGGAGCACAAAACTGTCCAGAGCAATTTGTTAAAACAACATGATTGTTTGTAATAACTACAGTGTTTATAGAAGGATTAAAACAAGTTTGTTTTGTTCTTGGATTTATAATTAATAAACTTATAATAATTTTACAAAACTGAAAAGAAACTTGAATTGGAAAACTTCAGTTTTATACAGCAGGGAAAATTAATGTTTCAAAGTGCTTATGGGTATGGAACCTAGAGTAGTGATACATTCATATTCAATATTATTCATCTTCTGTTTTTATATTTATTTTATTTTTGAACTTTGTATAAGATTGAATGAATTAAAGAAATAAAAAAAACTTTAACTTTGTATTTCCCAGCTTAGAGAAAATTTGTAATATTTCCCGGGACGGGAAATACCGGTATTTACCACTGGTAATTCCCACCACTGGTATTTCCCAGCCAACCCTGGTTTTGTCTAACTATAAACAGAAATAAAGATTCCAAGAACTGATACATTAGACTCATGCCTGTCACTTCTTTTGCTAAGAATCTTCTACTTCATAATGTGTGAGGGAGTGTTTAAAACTGTAAACAAAATGTAATGGAACTGAGCAATCTCAAATTATGTCACTCTAATTGTGCCAGACTATTGATGATCCCTGTCAAAAACTGCTGTCTCAAGTGAAAACCAAACATTTGGTTTTTATCTCTTCCTGTTTCTCTCTCTCTTTCTTTTTAATGAATAGGTATTTTTGTGAAACAGGAATTTTGTTTGCTGTCATAAAATACAATGTATTGAAGAAAGAAGTGGAGACAACTGCTGCTGATCAAAGGCAAAGGACATATAATTATTACTATGGCCAGATTAATCATATATTGTATAGCGAGTTTTCTTGATGGGTGTAAAATTTGCTGTTTTGCTTGCTCAAAGGCATGCAAAAAATTTTGGCGTAATTTATTTTAGCAGACACAGGGTTTGAACACTTTGCAAAAGAACACTAAGAAGAATACTGAATATTTTAGTGATTAAAATTTTAGCGGGCTACTACCAAAATGCTAAAGTATGCCAAAATTAGCAACCCACTGAAATAACCCGCTATTCAGTAAACATACAAAAACAGCTTATACTTTATACTGTAAACAGACTCAAATCTACTGCCAGAAATCTATATTGATCACTAAATCTTACTAAATAACTAAAAATAAGCTATCAGGTGTGCTGTTTCTAACCAAAATGCAGTCAATTCATTAGTTTATTGCACACTTAAAATATTAGTAAACAGTGAACTTGGTTGCATCTTAAGAGGCAAGCCAAAGGTGTGCATTTTGCTGCATTAAGAAACAGTAACTGGAATATTCCCGCACCAATATTCTTTTCATTGAAACATTTGAATGAAATACTTACATGTACCAGTATGCCATATTGATGCAGCATATACAAAATGTAGTTGGCTGCTTTACTATATGTAAGCTCTTTCTCAGTTTTGCCATTCAAGTCCACATGACTAATTTATTGATATGAAATGCAAAAATCCTAGAATGACCATTAAATTGACTTAACTGAAGGCAATCTCCACTTTACTGAATGACTAAGGGCCCTCTCACACCAAGCTGCGTCCCCATGGAGTTATTACGGCATTGTTAAATTTTTAAAATCGCTGTGGAATCGCAGGGAAAATGCACAAATAAAAATTTTCACAATGTGAAGATGTCACAGAGTCCCTATGGCGACCCATTCATTTCTACGGCATTCTCACAACGTACTACTGCATTCTCAGGGAGATCTCTTGGGGATTGACTGCGCTTCCGCAGAGTTTTCACGGCGTGCTAGGAGTTAATTGTCACCTCACGTTCACGGTGTTCTCACTACACTGGCTGCGTTTACAATGCGTTCTTCACCCATGGATATATATACAGAAGGAGTGTAGCATATTTTTTTAAAGATTCAAGTTATGAAAAATCTTCTAATTATGCTTAGAAATATTCTTTTAAATTAATTAAAAATGATCTATTTGAATAATTTAGTACTAAATTATTGACAGTTTTATTATTAAAACCTTTCTTTTTTCAGTTTTATCAATTCAGATCTATGTGTTTTTAACTTTACTTTAATGATTTTATTACGAATGCAAAAAATGTACACACTGAAAAGTTGTTACAAAAATTTAAGTAATTCCACCTCAACTCCACTGAAACAACAGAACAAGTTCTGGTGTTATTTTCACTGTACAATTATACTTTAAAGACTCTCATGCTCTTGGTCAGGAGAATTATTGCTGATCAAATATGAGGCCATTCCTCTTGTTTTGTGAACTGGCTGAAAACGCTCCAACAATGTTGTGAAACGCATTGTGATTGCCAACGGACGCGGTAGAAACGCCAAGGGAGCGCAATGATCGCAGTGACAACGCCTTGTCACTGTGTAATCGTAGTAAAAAAAATAACAAGACGATTTATCTCATTAGACGCACGTAAAAGCACAATAGAAATGCAGTGATACCTCCAAGGACTCCACAAGGTCTCCTTGAAAGCGCAGTCTACTATCACTGTGTTCATGCTGCGATCATGTGCTTCTTCATGGTGTGTCTACGGAGCTCCCACTGCATTGCTGGAGATCTCACCGCACTGCTACGGCGATCATACTATGTTGCTACTGCGTTCCTATCAGACCGCGATCACACGGCGCGTACCTTGTGCATGCCCAAAGTGTGGGCATCCCCTGGAGTTCTAGGAGACCCTACGCGACCCTACCACGTTTAGTGGAGATCTCGCCGTGTTGTCATGGCGCTAGCGCTGTAGGAGACTCTACTGTGCTCAACTCAGCGTTTTGCATTTTTTATGGACGCCGTGCGATCGCTGTAAGGACGCAGTCCCGGTGTGACAGAGAAAAATACACTGTACCAAGACTCATACATATAGTGATATACATTGCCATTTCTGTCAAAATAGTTTCTCTTAAAGATTGTATATAACTTCATTAAAGAAAAAAAAATAATTTCCCTATTCATCCTAGCTGTTATTCATTGCTAAAAATTGTTGAATAAAGCTATAAAGAAAACGATTCTAATAAGCATTTTCATGGCATGTTTAGTTCTTATACATGTAGTTCAATATCTTCAACTCAGCAGGAAGGACAGGGAGACTTCAACATATCTTCAAAGGTTACTTCAAAGTTCAACATAAAATCTTAACCATCCTGGTATTCCACACAACTCTGGTGTTTGAGATACTTCAGTATCCTACAGTGTCCCCTCCCCAGTAGAGAGAGAGAGAGAGAGAGCATAATGCAAGAATGCAGTGAAGAGACAAATGAAGCCAGTTTATTTATGAGATACATTTAGACTATTTCTTTTTCCAAGCCAATTAATTAATGAGCCAGATAAATTCGCTCTATGGTTTTTGTTAGCTTATTTAGTGTGAGAAGGTCTTATTTTTTGTAGAATACGAAGAAGAGGAGTTGATGACGCAGTTAAGCTCTGCAACAGAGGAATTTCTGGCTATTCCTTAATAATTACTTTAAAAAATAAAATGTCCAACTACTTGTCAAATAAATAATGTAAAAAATTCCTACCGTTGGTGCAGCCATTCTTGATTCTGTCTCGAGTATGCAACACTGCAATGAAATAACCTTGGCCTAATTTTCTTCTGCAGAGTTGACATCCACAAAATTCAACCCACTCCGAGGAATGTCGAGCCCGATGTATTTACAGTAAATTGAGAGAGAGAGATCATTCCTTCTGTGAAAATTCTTACATTCGCTTTCGAAATGAGATATATATGAAAAAGATTGGGAAAAAATGAAAAGGCAGTCAAATTTTGTTCCTTAAAATTTCGAAATATAACCTCTCATTTTACAGTTTATAATTCCTTTTTATTATCAAGTTATACAGTAGCATAAAAACATGTATAGACTTGCTCAAGTCTCTATGTTTTAGTGCTCTCTTTCAAACTTTTTTTGGATGATGTCAAAAATCTATGTTTGATAACATTTAACTATGATAGAGAGCAGAGCTCAACAAGACAAAATTGAACAAAGAATTATTTAATTAAAAAAACGTAGAGACTTGAGCAAGTCTAAAACATGTAGAATGCAGTGATTAAAGTGATATTGATTTGGCACATCTCTATAGATTCTGCATCTTCATGCAGCATGCTTCGTAATTAATATAGTGAAACAAAATAATGTGATCTTATTTGGATAATTTGATGTTTTAGAAATAATTTTTAACTTTATGTTTAGTCAATTCAAATTACGATTTAAAGCAAAGGAATGAAAAATACTTTATTTGTAACTATAATAACTTAAGATTTTCAGAGAGTGATTACACCAATTACTGATTACATGTATACCTGTTCTGTATTACTATTGTATTATTTATCTTTATCAGTTTATAACTGCTCTAAAATATCATGTATTAAAATATAGAAGATATCTTGCTTTCTTTAATAAAAAAAAATGGAACAGATATTGCTACTGTAACTGTAATTGATTTGTACACAATTCAACAACAGAGAAACATGCATAGAATGAATTCAGCAGAGTCGATTTTTCAGCCACTTATAAAAAGAGCGCTAAAGATGTTTTGTCTCCAGACCAGTTCCAGAGGACTCTTAGGCGGAAAAAAACTCATTAATTAAAACTCAGGTGACAGTCAAGGCCCATGGTTCTCTGTGTGACAAAGATCTGACTGAAGTGTACCATCAGTATTATTGTATCCCATGCACTAGAATCAGTGCATGCGTGCTTTTCTCCATATTAAATATGCATTTCTTGGAGATATATTTATTAATCCTTGCGAACAGAATGATGTGGCAATATTCGTAGTGACACAGCGTTAAATACAAACTCCAATATACAACGAACTTTCCTCATTATATTTGAAAAAAGTGTAGTTCACGGGTGTAATGTAAAAAGATGCACAGTCTAACTGGAATTATTTGAACAAGTATAAAAAATAAAACCAGAATCCACATTTTATCCGACCTTGAGTTATTCTACGGAATCTTCACAATTGATTCCCTCTTACCCAAAATAGTTTTTCTTGTTTGATTTTTAATTAACTCACTTGAGCCGAAGGCTCTTGAAAGTGAGCTTTTCTGATCAAAAAGAGTGTTTGGCGTCCGTCTGTAGTCCGTAAACTTTTCACATTTTCGACTTCTTCTCAAGAACAACTGGGCCAATTTCAACCAAACTTGCCACAAATCATCCGTGGGTGAAAAGCCTCGTCCTCTTTCAGGGGGAGATAATTAAGAATTCGTGAAAATTTGGTGGCATCTTTTAAAAATCTTCTTCTCAAGAACCACTGGGCAAGAAAAGATGAAACTTATATGAAAGCTTCATAACATACTAGTACTGTAGATTCAAGTTTGCTCATATCATGACCCTTGGGGGTAGGACAGAGCCGCAAGAGGGGGTCGAAGTTTACATAGGAATATATAGGATTTGACTTAAAAAATCTTCTTCTCTAGAACAGCATAGCCATGATTAGTCATATTATAATAGAAGTATCCTCAGGTAGTTTAGATGCAAGTTTGTTTCAATCATGACCCCTGGGGTAGGGCAGGGCCACAACAGGGGTTTACCCAGGGTTCTCCATCATTTCAAATTTAAGTGTGGCGCAAGACTTATGCGAAATGCTAATATGCGCTTTCATTTCGCGACCAAATTCGCGAAGAAACCAAGAAATAAATTGAAAACACACAACCCCTAAGAATCAATAATTTAATACACAACTGACATTATTTGACAAATTGATTAATTGATTTAATACAAAAAACAAATTAATCAATATGGATTAATCATAGTGTAAAACAAAAATTAGGATATTTCCAAAATATATGTATAATGTGAAAAAAGACCCCCAAAACATACGTACTACTAAATAAATAAATATTACCTTCTATAACCTGAAAATAATAGTACAAGTAATATACATGTAACACATTTTAAGCATTTAACCCTATTTTTTTAAAATATAATTTTGTTTACAAAAGGTAACTTATACACCTATAGTGTAGGTACATGTAAGTTACATAATCACGCTAACATCTACATGTATATATTTAGAATTATTGGTCTGAAGACTGGACTATTTTATAACTTGTGAATTAAAAAAAAAAAAAAAAAACACTTGAGCAGTTTAGAATCATAAAATTACATTTTGGTGGATCTACCCCGTATTGTTAAATTTCAACATTACAAAAATACACGATACATTTACGATGTTTGACTCATAGTTCTAAGGCAATTTTAGAGACGTGATTATCTAGCTGTAGAACTACTAAAGCTAGAATTAATTGATATTAAAAATATCATTTGTAATTATCATGAAGTGTGCAAAAAATGGCTTGTTTCTTTTCATTCATGTGTCCAGCGAGGTCAACAAGATAATTGCATGATTGTGCAAGCCAAACAATTGGCCCTAATTCAAGTAAATTAACGGTTTATTTAGCATTACAAACAGAAAATCGGTACATAATTTGGAAATTCATTTGATTTATAAATTTATTCTTCTGACGACGACGACGATCTTATTGTGGTTCTGATATTTTAACTGTGGCGGAACTATGGCGCTAAAAAATATAACTGGCGGGGCCGCCACAGTAAACGGCCCATGGAGAACCCTGGGTTTACCATAGGAATATATAGGAAATATCTTTAAAAAACAAGAACAGCATAGCCATTATTAGTCATATAAATACAGAAGTATATCCTCAGGTAGTGTAGATTCAAGTTTGTTCAAATCATGACCCCAGGGGTAGGACGGGGCCACAACAGTGGGTCAAAGTTTTACATAGGAATATAAAGGTGTAATGGTTAAGGGGCATTTGAGTAAAACGCATTGAAGACCTCAAATAATGGAATGCATGACCTGACAACCCTTGGAATAGACTAGCCAAACCAAAGGTATATATAAGGCAAAACTTTGGGAAAGTCAGGCATTCAGAGGGTGGATGCTGAATCAGCAAAGAAGGAAGTTAAGGTACTCCTAATAGCATCAGATTCAATGATATTGAATGCAAAACAGATGCCTAGGTGTTTAATACTCAGTACAGCAAAGCCATGATTAGTAATACTGATATGGAAGCATCCCGAGGTAGTGTAAATTAAAGTTTGCCCCTCCCCGTTCAATACTAAACTGATTTCTGCTTCTTCCTAGCCAATGAGCTCAGGTAAGCGATGTGGCCCATGGGCCCCCCTTTTTTTGGGAGTGGGGCTACAAAATTTCTGAGTTAGGTTTTTGTATATTTATTACACGAAAAAAATACACACTATTTTTGGCATTAAGGAAAGGAATCTGTTATTGTACTTATTGTTCATTTTCCTTGTATTAGAAAGAAAAATTTCAGGCACGTAGTATCGTTTTTGAAAAATGGGAAGGGGGGGGGGAGGAGGCAGCCAGAGAAAAAAAAATCAACTTACTTGAAAACTGAAAAAACTCGGTTGACAATCCCCCCCCCCCCAAGGAATATTGTCCAAACTTGAAAATCCTATCTCGGGGGTGAGGGGTAGGTTTCAACTTCTTTCAAAACCAAATTTTATTCATTCCATCATACGTAACCACATTACCCCCGATGTGCCTATACTCCAACAAAAAGTCGGAGGGGGGGGGGGGCAATCAGCCTTTCAATGAAAATTTTCAATAGTAAAATAAATTATGCTTTGGAAAAAAGCAGCCTCTCTGATACTACGTTTCTGCGTTAGTCAAATGATCTATTAATCCCTGCTTCGGAGGCTACTTCCCGGTTATCCGTAATCCTCTTGATTTTACTTTTGGGTCTGTATAATAGATGAATGTATTAATATCCCTGTGCGTTGGTCAAGTGAACTAATCCCTGCTCGGAAAACCAATTCCAAATTATACGTAATCCTCAATTTTTTTTTTTTTTACTTTTGTATCCCTTTATTAAAACAGTTAAAAAGTATACCATCGAGGGAGTAAGCAAGATTCCACTTCCCCTTGACTAGGACCATTTTCCTTGACTTCGCCTCGGGATTTATTCCTGGTCTTGGGGAACTAACTCCCTCAATGACATACTTTAACTGTATACCAGTTAGGATGATCCATACCCTTAAGCTGAGTAGGTTTTAATTCATGATTCATGGTAGTGATGAAGGGGAGGAGGGGGGGGGGGCAATGTCAAGATCCTATGCAGTCACATAAAAATGAACAAATTCAAAATTTTTCAAAACAACTCCTTAGCTGAATGGAAGCGTTTGCTGCATAATTAATGAAAGAAAAGTGTCTCCAAATTCATCCCCAGCAATTATTTCAAACCCAATCTCACGAAAAGTAGAAAGATAGAAGAGACAAACATTGTTACTTAATATATATTTTTTATTATTTGTACAAACATCACTGACAGCTTTTCTTAAGAATCACAGACATCAGATAATAAATTGTCTCATAAAATGCATACGAATAAAAAGTTTGGTTTTTAAAATGCCATAATTATAACTTAGAACATTCATACATGAGAGAGTGAGTTCTCTCCTCTTCAATGACCAGTGTCTTATTATTGCAGAAAGAGAAATAATGACAATGTCAGACTGTAGAGGGCGCTGTCCCCTTACATCCCACACATGGTTCATGTCCTGTGCTAAACTCTCCAACCCTTGTAAAGTTTTAAATGTTCCCGAATAGAACGCTAAGTCGGACATCACCAATCTGAAATAATAAAGATAATTTCTTGTCAAAGATTGATCTACAAAGAGCAGTTTGCAAAATGTTATATATCCATTTAAAGAAATACCTTACAATAGAATCATAAGAATCAATAGAAAGTTTGATTGTCACATATTTATTGTGGGAAAAATAGTGCTTTTACTGCAAAATCAATAAAGAAAGAACTATAAAATAATTTGCTGAGATCAAAACTTAAGCTACAATTCAGAAAGATTCAAAACCTAGACAGCTCTTAAGGACAGTATATGTATATATATACTGGACAATGTCTCCAGTCCTGTTCAGAATATGACAATGTGCTATTTCTCTCTACAGAGTGTATTTCTTGAAGGCAATTAAAACCAGAGAATCCCTTAAACAATTCTGGTTGGGTCAGATATTTACCCATGTTGATATCAGATATTTACCCATGTTGATATTAGATATTTACCCATGTTGAGGTCCTCCATTTTTGGAGACTTCTAGAGTAACTAACTGCTGTCTGATCAACTTCTTAAAACAGCTGTTAATCTTGGTGAACAGCTCCTGTAACAGAAACAAACAACAAGTGAGATCATGATGTAACATACTGCACAATAAGAATGTTATCTTTTAAATGATACATATCAAATCATACTGGCTCAACTTAAAACTGACCTTTACTTGATCTGGCAACAAAATGTCAAGGACAGCCTCGTGCATTTTGCTGATTTGTTTACAGATTGACCTAAAACACATGGAGGGCATTAAGGGGCCTTCACTTCCCACTGAAAAAAAGACAAAACTGATCTGCATGAATATTAAAGCAAATACATTCCAATGATAAAATAATAAATGATGTTCCATATTTCTCATTCTGCATGTACCATATTAGCAACTGTACATAATGAATAACAATACAAAGACCCCCCTCTTATTTGTTTCACTGTGCATCCGACGTTTAAAGACAGAAAATTATGATACACTTTTTGATTAAAATTTTCAATTAAAAAAGATTTATATGCTTTAATACCAAATGGAAAAAGAGTAAACATGTGAAAAACATTAACAATATGGTAAAGATGGACCCTGTATTCATGATGATGACCTTTGACCCCTATACTGACCTCTGACATTAATACTGACCTTTGACAGTTGTTGAGCTATGACCCCCTCCATGACAGTCACAAGTTTGTTTGTTATTTCATTAATGTGGTCACAGTAATCCTGGGAGAACACAATAAAAGTCAAAACAGTTAGAAGTGAAGACCAATAAAATACAAAAGTCATCTTTTTTACAATAAAGATGAAAAATACTGATAATCCAATAAATAAACAAAAGGCCCAAGGGCCGTAATTGTCCCCTGAGTATAATACAACCTGTAAAGGTTTCATAGAATGCATGGGAATGTGATAGTTGTACTATAAAACAAAATAAATTAATAGAAAAAGATATTTGTATTTTGCTTACAATTAAGAACAAAGACTGATGGGCCAAATTGCTCACCTGAGCACTTGGCTAGAACAAGAGGCCCATGGGCCACAGCGCTCACCTGAGTAACTTTGGCCTTGCTGTTTTTCACCTGATTCCCCCCCCCCCCCCCGTAGTACTTATTAGTACTTATTGTGGCCCCGCCCTATCCCCAGGGGGTCATGATTTGAACAATTGGAATCTACACTACCCCAGGATGCTTCCAAGTAAGTTTCAGCTTTTCTGGCCCAGTGGTTCTTGAGAAGAGATTTTTAAAGATTTTTCCTATATATTTCAATGTAAAACTTGGATTCCCTATTGTGGCCCCGTTCTACCCCCAGGGGTCATGATTTGAACAATTTAGAATCTACACTACCCCAGGATGCTTCCAGATAAGTTTCAGCTTTTCTGGCCCAGTGGTTCTGGAGAAGAAGATTTTTAAAGATTTTTCCTATATATTTCAATGTAAAACTTGGATTCCCTATTGTGGCCCTGCCCTACCCCCGGGGGTCATGATTTAAACAATTTAGAATCTACACTACCCCAGGATGCTTCCACATAAGTTTCAGCTTATCTGGCCCAGTGGTTCTTGAGAAGAAGATTTTTAAAGATTTTTCCTATATATTTCAATGTAAAACTTGGATTCCCTATTGTGGCCCCGCCCTACCCCCGGGGGTCATGATTTGGACAATTTAGAATCTACACTACCCCAGGATGCTTCCAGATAAGTTTCATCTTTTCTGGCCCAGTGGTTCTTGAGTAGAAGATTTTTAAAGATTTTTCCTATATATTTCAATGTAAAACTTGGATTCCCTATTGTGGCCCCGCCCTATCCCGGGGGTCATGATTTGAACAATTTACAATCTACACTACCCCAGGATGCTTCCACATAAGTTTCAACTTTTCAGGCCCAGTGGTTCTTGAGAAGAAGATTTTTAAAGATTTTTCCTATATATTTCAATGTAAAACTTGGATTCCCTATTGTGGCCCCGCCCTACCCCCGGGGGTCATGATTTGGACAATTTAGAATCTACACTACCCCAGGATGCTTCCAGATAAGTTTCAGCTTTTCTGGCCCAGTGGTTCTTGAGTAGAAGATTTTTAAAGATTTTTCCTATATATTTCAATGTAAAACTTGGATTCCCTATTGTGGCCCCGCCCTACCCCGGGGGTCATGATTTGAACAATTTACAATCTACACTATCCCAGGATGCTTCCACATAAGTTTCAACTTTTCAGGCCCAGTGGTTCTTGAGAAGAAGATTTTTAAAGATTTTTCCTATATATTTCAATGTAAAACTTGGATTCCCTATTGTGGCCCTGCCCTACCCCCGGGGGTCATGATTTGGACAATTTAGAATCTACACTACCCCAGGATGCTTCCACATAAGTTTCAGCTTTTCTGGCCCAGTGGTTCTTGAGTAGAAGATTTTTAAAGATTTTTCCTATATATTTCAATGTAAAACTTGGATTCCCTATTGTGGCCCCGCCCTACCCCCGGGGGTCATAATTTGAACAATTTAGAATCTACACTACCCCAGGATGCTTCCAAGTAAGTTTCAGCTTTTCTGGCCCAGTGGTTCTTGAGAAGAAGATTTTTAAAGATTTTTACTACATATTTCAATGTAAAACTAGGATTCCCTATTGTGGCCCCGCCCTACCCCCGGGGGGCATCATTTAAACAATTTAGAATCTACACTTCCTTAGGATGCTTCCAGATAAGTTTCAGCTTTTCTGGCCAAGTGGTACTGGAGAAGATTTTTTAATGACCCCACCCAATTTTTGTATTTTCTTGATTATCTTCCCATTTGAAGGGGACTTGGCCCTTCATTTTAAAAATTTAAACTCCCCTTCACCCAAGGTTGCTTTGTACCAAGTTTGGTTAAAATTGGCCCAGTGGTTCTTGAGAAGAAGTCGAAAATGTGAAAAGTTAACAGACAGATGGACAGACGGACGGACGGATGGACGACGGACAATGGGTGATCAGAAAAGCTCACTTGAGCTTTCAGCTCAGATGAGCTAAAAAAGCAGAAATCAGCTTAGTATTGAAAAGTTTAAATATATCTGGTCCTGAATAAGAAAAGGGGGGGGGGGTTGTGATTTGAAAAAAATTGAATCTACACTAACTGAGGATGCTTCCATGTCAATATGACTAATGGCTTTAGAAAACTATTTTTTTCCCTATAAGTTTTATCATCTTTTGTGCCCCCCCCCCCTCCCCCTGGAGTTCATGATTTGAATGCTTCTGTAATAATATGACTAATTATTGCTCAAGAATACAAAAAAGAATTCTACCATATGGCATGCCTAAAGAAAGAATATGCTAAAATTTCAAGCATATGAGAAAACTGCGAAGAAAATTTGGTACAGACAGACGCAATGATAAACAGGAAGTTGACATCATACAAAAAAGAATCCCACCATATGGCATGCAAAAACAAGGAGTGTGCTAAAATTTAAAGCATCTGCCATGAATAGTTGCTGAGAAAACTGTGACAGAAATTTTGTGTGGACAGACAGACGCACACATAAACAGGAAGCTGACATCAGATTCATACAAAAATGAATTCCACCATATGACATACAAAACAAAGAGTGCTAAAAATTCCAGCATCTGCCTTGAGTATAGTTGCTGAGAAAACTGCTGCAATGGAAATTTGGTGTGGACAGAGACACAGATAAACAGGAAGCTGACATAGGATTCATACAAAAATAAATCCCACCATATGACATGCCTAACAAGAGGTCTAGGGGCCACATTGCTCACCTGAGCACTTTGGTAGGAAAAAGCAGAAAACAGTTCAGTACTGAAAATTTTAAATATAAAAGTGGTTCGGAGAGGGGGGGGGGGGGGGGGAGGGGGGTTATAATTTGAACAAACTTGAATCTACACTTCCTAAGGATGCTTTTGATTTAATATGACACATAATGGCTTTGCTGTTCTTAAGATGAAAATTTTTATTGATATATCCTTTATATTCCTTTGTATAACTATGATCCCCTGTTATGGCCCCTTCTATTAAATTCTCCTGGGGGGTCAAGATTTGAACAAATTTAAATCTACATAACCTGAGGATGCTTTTATATTGTTATGACCCATCATGGCTTTGCGTTCTTGAGAAGAAGATTGTTAAAGATTTTTTCCTATGTATTCCTATGTAAAACTTTGATCGCCCATTGCGGCCCCACCTTATCCCCAGGGGTCATAATTTGATCAAACTTGAATCTACACTACCTGAGGATGCTTCCATATAAATATGACTAATCACAGCTTTGTTGTTTTAGAGGAGATTTTTTAAAGATTTTTCTTATGTATTCATATGTAAAGATCACCCATTGTCACCCCACCCTACCCCTGGGGGTCATGATTTGAACAAATTTGAATCTACACTAGCTGAGGATGCTTCCACATAAATATGACCAATCATGCCTTTGCTGGTCTTGAGAAGAAGATTTTAAAATATTTTTCCTATGTAAAGCTTTGATCGGTTATTGTGGCCCCACCATACCCCCAGGGGTAATGATTTGAACAAAATTGAATCTACACTACCTGAGGATGCTTCAGTATACATATGACCAATCATGGCTTTGCTGTTCTTGAGAAGAAGAATTTTAAATATTTTCCCCATGTATTCATATGTAAAACTTTGATCGCCCACTGTGGCCCCACTTTATCCCTGGGGGTCATGATTTGAACAAATTTGAATCTAAACTACCTGAGGATGCTTCCATATAAATATGACCAATCATGGCTTTGCTGTTCTTGAGAAGAAGATTTTTAAAGATTTTTCTTATGTATTCCTATGTAAAACTTTGATCCCCCATTGTGGCCCCACCCTTTCCCCATGGGTCATGATTTGAACGAATTTGAATCTACACTACCTAACAATGATTCCAAATAAGTTTCATGCTTTCAAGCACAGTGGTTCTTGAGAAGAAGAAGATTTTTTAATGAAGCCATTAATATTTCACGAGATCATAATTATCTCCCCTTTGAATAATGCATGGCCCTTCTTTTGAACAAACTTGAATCCCCTTTACCCAAGGATACTTTGTGGCAAGTTTTGTTGAAATTGGCCCAGTGGTTCTTGAGAAGAAGATGACAATGACAAAGGAAAAATTTTGACCAGAAAAGCTCAATTAAGCCTTCTGCTCAGGAGTGTGCTAAAGTTTCAAGCATCTGTAAAGAGTAGTTGCTGAGAGAACTGAAAAAAATTTGTTACGGACAGTACAAGCACACACAGACAGACAGACACACAAGGACACACAAGGATTTAAGTTAAACAGTACATGTATATCCCCCTTTCCTTCGGAGCACGGGTATAACAATACAAATTTGTGAAATAGGCATAAAACATGGACCCCCAGATGTTCAGAGGTGGGATCAGTGTATTCATTGTATCAGGAAATGTACATTGTAAAGTAACTAAAGAATTACCTTGGAACCCCTAGAAAACACAAACACCCCACTTAAATTGGTAGGAAGAGGCAGACAGAAGGGTTTTTTGCTCAACAAATTTTACCCCCCCCCCCCCCCCCCCCCCCGGGAAAAAGATGACTGGATCCGCACCTGTCAATACATATACATGTAAATGTCTGATGGGTAGATCCCACAAGTGCAGGTATGGTCTCTCCAAGACTTAGAATCTTTGGATTCACAATGTTATAAATTCTATAAATACTATTATACTTATATATATATTAGTAGGAATGCGTTTAACAAGAGGCCCAAGGGCCTTAACGGTCACCTGAGTAT